GTGTTAACAATGTATGTAATTAGAATGATTCTTGAAGTCTCACACAAACAAATGTTTCTAAACAGACCACTTACTCTAAGGGTCAGGGTTATTATTCAAATTAAAGCTTCCGACATTGCTATTTTCCTAACAGTTCTAAATGTAGTTAATTAGTTAAACCTTTTGTCAGAGCTAGAAATTCGCTTTCGATATAGTCAGCCTTCCGTATCCATGGATTCTGCTTCCACAGATTCAACCATTCAGGGCTTAAAAATATTCCCCTTCCTCAATAAAAATAGAAAACAAACTTTAAGTGTGCCATCTTATATAAGGAATACCATTTTACTATGCCATTGTATATAATGGGACTTTAGTATATAGTGATACCTTGCATTAAGAGTTTAATTTGTTTAGTAACTGAGCTCTTAACACAAAATACTCTTATCTCAAAGTGAATTTCTCATTGAAATCCTATTTATTTTGGAGGCCTGGCCACTCACCCATTCCCCATTTTTGTGATTGTTTTTAAATACTTTTAAGTACTTTATAAATAACAAATAATGTATAAATGCACATTTACATGGAGCAATAAAAAGAAAGATAAACTTTAAGCACAAAGTTATGGCAAGGAAGCGAAGCACAAAGCACAAAGTGAAGAGGCAGATGCCTCATTTTCTTCATACTATACTCATACTATACAGCCTCCCTCTCATGCTTTCTCTCCTTTTCTCTCTTCATAAAGCCAAACATACCAGGAATAAAAACCACACAAAATCAACTAACCAAAAGTTCCCCAAAGTGGACAACAGTAAAGCAGGCAGCAATCTCCCAAAGCAAAGAAGAGCACGATGCATGGAGCTACTCCCTTGAAGCCCTAAAGCCCTATACTCTCATGCTAGCACTCCCTCTTGCAATAGCTCTTAACTCAAAATGTTGCTCTTATGTCAAAGCAAAACTTGACCAAGCGCAACTCTTAATTCAAAATGCTCTTAAGTTGGGATGCTCTTCCATTGTATATTGATATTTGTATCGGGGGGGGGGGGGTCATTGAACTAAACCCCAGCAGTTATAAAGCCTCAGTTTACATTCCATAACTGTGTATAATTCCTCTGTATACATACAGCTGGATGACTGTGACCTTCCAGATGTTATTGGACTGAGATTTAAATTATCCCTGGGCAAAACAGGGAACAATGGCGGATCATAAGAGGTACAGGCTGACAAATGTTAGAGGATCATAACTGGCCACCCTGAATGTACATAGAGTCAGCCCTCTACAGTTACTTGGGTAAAGAAATCCCCATAAAAGTGAAAAATGACTAAAGTGGATAAAGAAATTCCTATTTTTTTTACAACTCTAGGAATCTAGGAGAGACATAGAATCACACAGTTGGATAACATGTTTCAAGTCCAACTCAGCACACAGAGAATCCAATGAACGTTAGTACAAGGGTTTTTTTTCCCATACCTTAGTTCATCTGCTATCCGAAAGCCTTTCCTTCTTGCAAGATCTGTCAAGAAAGTTCTCCTAGTCACTCCCATTTTCCTCTCCATAATAAAGATGACTATGTCATTGAACTGTGTTTTGTAGCTGCTCTGAATCCCTGGAGGTTGCAATCCTTTCTTCTTTTTCTTCTTGGGAATAAAGTCTGTAGTCCTGATCATATTCATGGTGCAATGCACACTTTGTCTTATTTGTTTATACCTGCACTTTACTCAGGAAAATACAAGCTCACAGCCCAGCAAGCAGGCTGTTTTTGATGTCAACACTGAGTGATGTCATTTTCCTCTCTTCCTTTTCTAAGAAGAGAAAGCTCAGTGGACCAAAAACCTTAGTCACTTTTGAACCTCCTCATGGTTCAAATACTGTTTTCAGTTTTCACCAGAGTCCACAATCAGATGAATTAAAGAAGTTGTCACTTTGAGTTCTGTTTGACAAGCTTCTTAAATGACTTTAGATAATTCTGATTATGATTTTTTTTTCCCTTTTAAACCAATGCAAGGAACTAGAAGACCTAAGGATGCATCTACGCTGTGGAATGAAAGCAGTTTGACACTGCTTTAACTGCATTTTTTTTCCATGTCAGGAGCGACTTGAGAAACTGCAAGTCACTTCTGGTGTGGGAGAATTGGCCATCTGTAGGGACGTTGCCCAAGGGATGCATCATTGTAGGAGGCTTCTCCCATGTCCCCGCATGGGGAGCTGGAGCTGACAGAGGGAGCTCATCCATGCTCTCCCTGGATTCGAACCTCCTACCTGTCGGTCTTCAGTCCTGCCGGCCCATAGGTTTATCCCACTGCGTCACCGGTGGCTCAATGGTATGGAATTCTGGAATTTGTGATTTGGTGAGGCACCAGCAGTCTTTTCCAGAGAAGGCTACAGACAGATCTTGTAAAACTACAACTCCCATGATTACATAGCATTAAAGCATGGCAGTTAAAGTGGTGTCAGACTGTGTTCATTCTACATTTCATATATTCAGACTGAGATGTGAATAGGCAAGCCCTATCATAATCCCATTTGCATTCACACAATAAAAGACTATATCAGAATTTCAAAAAGTTACTTTCTTTACTAGAGTTACTGGAATCCTTCCAATCAACTTGGCCAGTTCTAGACTATACCAATACTGTATCTGATTTTTAAATAAACCTTCTCCCCTTTTAATTGCCACTTACAAATGGCATATAACAATTTGTACAATGGCTGTCATCTTACAACAATGTTGTTTCTGCAAAGCTTCCCGTTATCTGAGTCACAGCCGCGTACGCAATATCTTACTCTTCATTACCCATGATTAGTGGTATAAAACCATATTGGCCACAGAACTGTTTGCGGTACAGTGTGTGTTTCATACTTCCTTTCGATATTCGTGAGTGAATTTGCTTGAGAAATGTGTGCAGCACAGAGGTGAGAAAGAACACCCAGGCTTATTTAAAAGAAATGTCAGGACTTCAGGGAGATTTGAGAGACTTCTACAGACAGTTTGGAAAGTTTCAGAATCACTAACAACCAATTTTTGCTAGATTCTGTTCACTAAGTCCCCACACAGTAAAATGGAGAATTAATCATCCCACCATGCAGACATAAAGGAAGACACGAAGCTGCCTGTTAGATTACTAGGAGAAACCATGAAAAATAATGTTTAAGTCTACAACTCCCAGAAACTCCAAGCTAGCATAGGTAGTGGTCATGCTGACTGGGAGAATCTAGAAGTTCTGGTCCTCTCCCAAAATATATCAAGGCCCTGTTTGTATAGACCTATTCTGGATTGCAAAGGGGCCATGGTGGAGCAGTGGGTTAAACTGCTAAGCTGCAGAACGTGTTGACCAGAAGGTCGGCAGTTCAAATCCATGGGACAGGGTGAGCTCCATTGTTAGTGCCAGCTTCTTCCAACCTAACAGTTTGGAAGAAGCAAATGTGGGTAGATCAATAGGTACCATTTCTGTGGGAAGGTAATGGGGCTCCATGCAGTCATGCCGGCCACATGACCTAGGACGTGCCTACAGACAACACCAGCTCTTTGGCTTAGAAATTGAGGTGAGCACCACCCTCCAGAGTCGGACTCAACTAGATTTAATGTCAAGAGGAAACCTTTACCTTTATTTATTCCAAAATGTAGGTGAAATAAACACAAAATAGAGAAGGCGCATCAAGAGACAGGGTATGTTAGCCTTGCCCACACCTTCACCTCCCAGTCATAATTTCCATTGCCTTCCAATGTGAACAATTTCATTCATTCATTCACTCAGTCATTCATTTAATCTCTCACTACGTGCGGTCTCTCGTGCACGTGGTGCTGTGTCTGGCACACGTATTCCCTTCTCTAATTCAGAGCCACATTATGCAACCAGCGTAGTGCTACCAGCACTGGGTCCCAGCTATCATACTTTCACCGAAGTTTTTAATCACAGGTTAAACCCATAGCCTTCAAAAAGCAAAGTATATACTCAGTCACTGACTTTTTTATCCTTTCCCAAAGGTACTAGCTTTTTCTCTAGGGCATTTCCAGAATCTGAAGCCAAATTCTTCCCCACACAAGCTAAGATTCCTCGAACAAAAAGCCCATATACAGAACTGTCCATATCAAAACATATTACTTTACTGCTATTTCAGAGTCAACTTTAGAATCAATGCATATTAAGTGTATAATATAATATGTTATAATAACATAATCCTATCCAGGAATTCTTTTAGAATGGTACCAGTACATGTACACATTGTTTTTAAAAATCAAAAAGCCCAGGCAGGCTCTACTCAGTGGTTCTCAACCTGTATGTCTCCAGGTGTTTTGACCTACTACTCCCAGAAATCCCAGCCAGTTTATTTATTTATTATTTATTTCAGATTTTTGTAGCCTGCCCTTCTCAACCCCCCAGGGAGGGGGGACTCAGGGCGGCTTCCAGCCTGCAACAATTCGATGCTTCCAATGTACACATAATAAAATCCATAATAAAATCCAATAATTACATATATTTAAAATATTAAATCACATTAATTAATTAAAATCTGTTTCTGTTTCAATAACAGCCTGGTGGCCTTATCTGAGCTGAATTCTGTAGTTAGAGACTCCATCAAGGATGTCCATAGTCCATTTCCAGCTGTTAGAATTTCTGGGAGTTGAAGCCAAAACACCTGGGGACCCACAAGTTGAGAACCACTGTTTTACTATGTCTGAACCTCAGGAAAGTTTAGCAAAGATACTTTTTCAGACAAAGATTCCCAAATCCTGCAGTTAGCAAGAAATTTGGCAATTGTAATAAAAAAAACTGAGCATCTGATCTCATGGCATTATATGTCTTCCTATACATAGTTCCACCCTTGGTTATTCAAACTACATAAAATTCTATCAGCTAGAATTACCTACAAAGATACGAATCTTGAATGGATTGAAATTTGTCTCATCTTTTTTCAAAGTGAAGTAAAGAAATCTGACATTTTCCTATTCCTCAGTATACCCCCATTGTCATTTTGGTAACCTTTTGTTATTTGTGACTTGCTATTTATCCGGTGGGTTATGTTCTTATGAGATTTTTTTGTTGTTGTTGTTGATATACTACTGAGAATTCCATCTGTTGCTCATGCCGGTTTTACCAAAGTCTTTACTTTCAGAAATATTATCCCACCAGTCTTTGAACAAATTCAGATGCCAAATACATGCCTTAAACATGGGTATTTGGGGAGGGAAAAGGGAGAATATTAACTTGAATTGCACAAACTTGTACACAAACGAATAAATATAACTAAGGTGTAAAAAGCAGTAAATAAGATGTACTCTAAAGTTGTTTTCTGTCATTCCTTTATCCCCCCCCCCCCCTCTTTTTTTCTTGTTTAATTCACTATCACTTCAGGCATCTGTTCTGATTACCACCAGGGAATGATTCTGCATTCATTACAGCTTGAAACTTCTGTTCATAATCCAGCTCTGTCTGGGTAAAGTGTTAATTAGTTGTAGTTGCTGTCATTGTTAAGTTGGCAGCCCCTGGCTGGCACAAAATATTACCGTTGTATCAAGCAAGGATTCCACTTGGTGCACACAAAGGATTTGTATGACTTATAGCTCTGATCAGAGGTATTGGACATTAATTGCTGCATCAGCAAATGTTCTCCATGAAAAGCATGCCATATGTATCTATTTCTGGAGACAGTGTCTCCCAGCACTTTTTCATATAAATTATGATAAAGTATACACAGAGGTATAATTCAAACGCTATGCTGTTTTTTATATTAAAAAATCATTGTGAAAGCCTGCTGCTCTAAAATAATTATGCCCTCAGAGGTGAACCGGCACTAGGGATGAACAAATATGGCCAAATTATATTCAGCAGACATTGCTTTAAAGTAGGGGAATAAGATACTCGAGGTAGACATTCAACAAAGGTGATCAAAGGTCCAGAAACCAAGCCTTATGAAGAGTGACTCAGGGAGCTGGTAAAAGAGAAGAAGAATATGGAAAAGAAAAGACAGATGGTTGACAAGCCACCCCAAGTCGTGCGATGTAAATGGTGGGATATAAATAAAGTTATTATTGTTGTTATTATTATTGACATGATAGCTATCTTTGAAGGGATGTCATGTAGAAGATGGGACAGGCTTGTTTTTGTTGCACCACTAAAAGAGAAGAGCTTCCACCTAAATATTACGAAGAACTTCTTTAAAAGTTGTTTAATGGTGGAATTACCTCAAGAGGAAGTCTTTGGAGATCTTTGGAGATCTTCGAACAAAGTTGCATGCATGGGTATATTTCAGAAATATTTCTTTGTGTATTCTGGTGGGAACGAGAGACAGAGCCTTTTCTGTGGTGGCTCCTCGACTATGGATTTCCCTCCCAAATGAAATTAGATCTGCCCCCTCCCTCCTAATCTTCAGGAAGCTAGAGAAAACTTGGTTGTGGAATGAAGCTTTTGCAGAATGATGTCTGAGACTGGCAATTGACCAAAGTTACTGACCACATTATATGGACTGAATATACGGACTGAGTTGGACATGATTTTATCTTGGCTGTTATGTAATTTATCCTATATGTATTGGTTAATTTTAATCTTGATGTATGATATTTTAGATTTTAGTGTTAGCATTGAATATTCCACAGCAAGCTGGCTTCAGGGAAGGCAAAAGCTGCACATCGCAAGTGCTGAACCTGACTCAGCACATAGAAGATGGCTTTGAA